TATTTGTGAGTTGACCTGTCTTTAACGTTTTTGCATTCAGCTCAATAAATTTACATTCATATGTTATTTTGTTTGTTCAAATGGCAACAATAACCTTCGTTTCGGCCAAGTTTATAATTGTTACAAATATACCTATTCGTTTCTTCGTTGACCAAATTTGATGCAAATAATTGATGTTTCTCTTCGAAAGGAATCATATTTCTTTGTAGCACAATAGTTTGGTGTCTATTAAATTCCCTTGTTGTGTCTGAGCTTCGGCATCGCACTATTTGTCACTACTTCATACCATCTTTTTTATATATAAAATCGTGCTTCAGATTGCGAAGACAAGTTCAAACCAGCACTATAAATAATTAAAATTCGTATCTTATTCTATAATAAGATTTGAATCGGGCGGCAAACAGAGAGCAGACAAAAAGCTGTATGCAGCAAGTAGTGAACAATCTGAACCGTTATTTTATATATAAAAATAATGATAGTAAGTTTTAGAAAATCACCATAATGCAATACCAAAGCTCAAGTGAGCAGTATAATTTAATAGATATCAAACTATTGGGCTATGATTAAATATATTTTCATTAAAAGGAAAACCTTAATTATTTATATTTGGATTGACACAGTCTCAATCGAATAAGATAGTTAGGCTTAGATAATCGATGCTATTAGGTACATAGATAGAATTTTAGTGAATTTTTACCACTCCATGTTCGTATTATTTTTACATTTCGGTCTTTTTTTGAACTTTTTATATTTTGGTTCGACCTTGTTTTCGCAACTTGTTCGGAGCCTCACGGAGACCTTGTGGAACGTGCCTAGTTCAGTGTCTGCCATTATATTCGTCATTTCTTGCATTAGACCATTGGCCAGGTACATTCCCAAACGTTTCGCCCGCATCATTAGTGAAAAGCGCTATCTAAAGCGCAGAGTTACAAACTATCAAAGTGGCAAGTGAAAGCCATCCTCTTGACCGATTTTCTGTTTAACCGTTGTGGCATCACTTCTCGTCCATCTTTGGATCTGTACGTTGAGCCAGTGTCAGACGCGCTGACGGCACCTTTGCCATCCATCTTAGGATTATAAATAGGACGATTTGCTGGTCCACCTGTCGCGGCAACTTACATGGTTCTTGCTTGTACACTACATGATTTACGGATTATTGTGTATCTAGAAGCCATCGCAGCACTCACAACTGGTACTACCGTTATTAAAAATGAATATGGCACAACTTTGTAAACTGTCAAACTTCGACTAATCAGAAAACGGAAACCTATTAGAGCTTAAAAAGCAAACTCCGACAATCCACGATTCTACTGAAGACTCATAAGTCAAAGCTTATTTACGAAAACTGGGGAGTGGTGCTATGCCTTATCTCCGAGTATGCAGCGAATCAAAGGAAGCGATTCGCCTTACTTTTACCGTGATAGGTGGATTAGCAAATCGGCCTTCTTATAATCCTAAGATGTGATCAGTGCGTCCTACATTGGCTCTATGTATACATCCAGAGATGGACAAAAAGTGATGTCACGATTTAACACAAATTGGTCAAGGAGATTGCCTTCACTTGTCACTTCGATAAGTTGTAACTCCATGCTTAAGAAGGCGCTTCTCACTGCCGATGCCGATGAAACGTCTGGGAATGTTACCGGTCAATGGTTCAATGCTGGAAATCACGAATATTATAGCAAAAGACATGGGATTAGGTACGTTCCACAAGGTCTACCTGACGCTCCGACCAAGTTGCGAAAACAAAGTCGAATCAACGCTATAAAGCTAAAGGAGGCTGTGACTAAACAGAAGACCACATCATCTTGTTCCTCATATCTACTATCTTTTTATATTCCATATTGTTAGCATTGATGAATCGATCAATCACTCTAATTATGTCCGATAAAGTCCTATATGCAACCAACTTCCACTATTTAGTATTTCCTGACACTTTTTGAAATCGCAGAAAGACTATTAGGATCTAATCTGTTTAGCATTTTATTAGTCAAGTAATTCTTACATTGGCAAACTATTTTTTTAAATAAAGACCCCTTCACATTTTTAAACACTTCTTTAGACCCAATACAAGCTGAAATAAATTTATTTTATTTTATCTTGTATACTTTCCATATAACTTCCTTCTTTTATTTGAGCCATTTTGTTTTTTATCTTTACAGTCAACAACTTGCTCAGGCTGGAGTTCTTGTGGTCCTACCCAAACTGGCTCAGCTGGGAGTTCCAACTAAGCGGCCAGATGACTACTTTGCTGAGATGGTTAAGAGTGATAATCATATGACAAAGGTGAAGTTATCTTATTTCACCTGTTTTTTTAATATTAGGTGATTATAGTTGTGATGCAGAGGAAGTCTTTATCTTTGCCACTTATGCAGAATCTCTTTATCGATTCCTAATTTGTGCTAATCATCAATGGGAATTGCTCGAGTATTGTCGAAATTTGGACATCAATATTGTTGTTCGTTACGCATGAAGACATATTTTTCGTATACGAGCTAAAACGATCTAATAGGAGCTTCATGTTTTCCTCTTATTTTTCCTTAATCTTCCACTCTACCTCATGAAAAATGATATTTGTTTCAAACTATTTTATCCTAAGAGTTGTGACTAGTCTTTATGGTAGATTTTCTGTGATCTTACTCTGAAGTATCTTCGCCAGATTTCTTATTCTTGGCATATACAGAAGGCATGCTCTGAGATCACTTCGTATTATTGAAAACTAGAGGATTTGATTTGGAGTCTATATAGGTCCAAATAGTGGGCATAGCTATACGATAGTAAAGCAGATAAAATTTCTGTATATAGAAGTGAATGAGGGACGAGCAGGATAGATTGAGAGGATGGAGAACCAAACAACCGAGGTGATGTGCTAGGCGTTAGAAATACCATGATCAGATGCTGTGTAATGCAGAGACGCGACGTTTATTCGAAGTTTTCTTCTGCAAAGTCAAGGAGGAACGGTAGCTGGAAGACCTTGTTTGGGTTTAGAAGCTGAACGAACTCTTCTCCATATGCAGATATCCAACTGAGTTTTCTATGGTATAGAAGCCATACGCAGGTAATTTGTGTACGGAGCAGTGAAACAAGTTAATAACGGCAGGCGATGACCGTCATTTCGAGAGAGAGCTGGTCAGGCAAACTGTCTTTGTAGGGGTTGACACCGGGGGATCTGGTTCTCGTAAAACCAAGCGTCAAGCCTTTCCGTGAACTATTTACTGATACAAGACACTGATGTGTATGGGGGAATATAGTGCGATGAGTTAGCCGCGAGTAGTCCCCATGGGCCGTAGGAAAATAAACCCGTAAGCAAATTCATTCAAGCTAGAAGTTCTTCCAGCTTAATACTTATAAGGCCTTTAGGAGATCATCGTTGGATGATCAAATAACAGGCTATGTTCATCGGAAACAGCGTCAGCATGAATCTTCCAGTATAGTCAATCGACAGCTGGTCAAGAGGAATCCGCCGTCGTCTTCTGGTAGAACCGATCTTCAAATCTCTTCACCCAACACTTCCGCTCGAAATGGAAGTAAGTTCAACAATTATAAAACAGGAGATTTCTTGAAATCCAACTTTTCTTCGCATAGACTATGTTCCGACTGACAAGAATGTGGTTAGCTGATCTTCAGAGTGCCAATTAAGAATGAATGTTATCCACAAGGGGTCAGCGTGCGAAAGGCGAACCTAGTTAGATCTAGATATGGTGGCATGTAGCGAGATCAATCAGCATGGCAAAAGTTTGGAATTATTATTCCAGATTTGTTTTCTGTTCTGCTTAGATAAATTGTGCCAATATTCTTTATTATAATGCAAAATTCCTTGCCCTGGTTAGTTGAACCAACAAGTGCATCTCAGGTCATAGGCTGAGATTGCAGGAGGACATCATTCTATATTTGCTATTCGAACCTGCTAGCTGGAAGAATCGTTAAAATGAGTGTACGACATAAATGCTCTTATGGCTGAGATTATATATATATATATATAATGTTAACATTTCGTCTTTCGCATTATTACCAGTTGATTTCTTGATTATTCACTTTGCAGATTCGTAAGCGTCTTATTGTCACGGAGAAACGCCTAGAGCTTCGTGACCGAGCCCGTCAGTTACGCGAAGGACGCAAATTTGGCAAACAAATGCAGCTACAAGTGGTTCAAGCCCGTCGAGATGAGCGTAAACGCCTTAACGAAGCTGTCAAGTCCGCCCGAGCTCATGGAAAGGGTATGTCATTGGGCTGGTAAGAGTTAATTTTATTAATGTTAATTGGTAGAGCTATTTCTAAGTCATAGTTTTGCACAATTTTCACCTGTGTTGAGA